AAAATTTTAAATTCCGCTGCAAACTCTGTTCCGTACAGTATATCGAACCCAACAATGTTCAATAGATTCAGGGGCTTCTCTACATGTTTGGCAAATAACATCAAGCATTAACCCCTTCTTGGCCAGACAAACTTTAGCAGGGAGGGTACCTGAAAAGCATTTCCTTAAGCTTGTTATGAATCTTCAAGTGCCAGCTTCTTGATCTTGCAGCCACAGCATACTTCTTGTTAAAGCTGCACTCTGGTATATCCAGTCTTTGAACCTTTCTATGAATGAGCAGAGCATATGAGGAAGAGACAGAGAAAGTTCTTTTGTTCTCTAGGCACCAGAACATTCTATCACTTCTATCAGGATTCAAAGTTGAAATTTCCAAGATGGCTTTGCTCTCCTCAGGTCTGAAAAATTCATTCACCAGCCATTCATTCCAACTACTTCCATTGCTGCACATAAGGTCTTTGACCCAAATCAGGTTACCTCTAGCCAGATCCATCAGAGAAGTTTCGGAAATGGAGATTTAGGAATCCAGCTGGTATCCTCAATTTCTGTACCCCATTTCTGATCTCAACTCTAAACCCCTGAGCAAATAAGAGAGTAATGCCGAGTCAACAGTTCCAAAGCCAAGAACTACTTTGAGATTTAACAGCCCCAAAGATAGAAGAATTAGGGTGGTACCTGCTTTTCAGAATTTTACTGACCAAGAGATTTGGCTGAGAAGTAATTCTCCAGAGTTGTTTGCAGATCAAAAGCTTCATTAAACAGCTTTATGTCTTGAAAACCAAGACCACCTTCAGTTTTTGGGATAGACAGGTGCTTCCAAGACTTCCAGTGTGTACCTTTCTCCTGGTTCTTCCCCTTACTCCACCAAAAAGATGCACAAAGTCTAGAAATCGTTTTGCCAATTGACATAGGTAGCCTGAAACATGCCATAGTAAAAATTGGAAGGGCACTTAAGACAGCCTTGATCAAGACTTCTTTACCAGCAGGTGATAGAAGCTTGTTTTTCCAGCTAGTTAATTTGGCTCTGACAACATTCAACACAAACTAAAATGCTTCCCTTTTGGACTTGCCAATACCCAGGGGCAGGCCTAAGTACCTGGCAGACTGGTGAGGTTTGATACCATTCAGAGCTCCAGTAATACTGTTTTGCAAGCACAAAGGGGTATTTTTGCTGAAGAAGATGGTTGACTTCTCTAAGTTGACCCTCTGTCCAGAAAACAATTTGTGCTGCTCCAACAAGTTAAGCAAAGTGTGAGCTTGATTAACCCCTGCTCTACAGAAAAGCAATGCATCATCTGCAAAGAGCAGGTGAGAGAAAGAATAGCAATCCTGACACAACCTCAGTTCATGCAGAGCACCCCTATCTACAACATCAGCCAACAAAATAGTGAAAAGTTCAGAAACAATAAGGAAGAGATAGGGGGAAGGGATCCCCCTGTCTCAGTCCTCTAGAAGGTTGAACCTTACCACATATCTGACCGTTAACATTAAAAGATAGGGAAGTAGTAGAGATTCACACCATAATTAGTTGAACAAATTGGGCATCAAAACCCATTCTGAGCATTATATCCTTGAGACATTTCCACTCCACCCGGTCAAATGCTTTCATACGGTCTAGCTTCAAGGCCATGAAGCAGTTCTTGCCATTTCTATGTCTGTTCGAGTAGTGGAAAGCCTCGTGTACTATTACCACATTGTCAATAAGTTGTCTGCCCTGACGAAAAGCTGATTGACAAGAGCTGATACAGTCTTCTAGCAAACTTTCAATTTGAGAGCTAAAATTTTAGATAGAAATTTATAGACAACACAACACAGGCTTATTGGTCTATATTGACTGATAAGCTCAGGATTCTTGCATTTAGGAATAAGAGTAACAAGTGTATGATTCTAGTATTGCTGCAACAAGCCCGAATCAAAGAAACTTTAAATGGCTTCAATTAAATCAGATTTGATAAGAGACCAGTGCTGCTAAAAAAATAAAGCACTCATATCATCCTCTTCTGGAGACTTGTCTAGTGCTAAACTGAAGAGAGCAAATTTTATTTCTTCCTCCTTGATCCCTTGTGAGCAATGCAATATTCATGTCATAAGTAATTATATGGAAAAGTAAAGGAAGAATGGATTCTCCCCCAATGGAACCTTCAGAAGTGAATAGGGTTCTGAAGTAGTCAGAAATATGAGCTTCAATCTCTGTTTGAGTATGTCAGATATGGTTTGTTCCTACAATGAGCCTAGTGATTGAATTCATCCTTCTTTGTCTGGTATAGGCATGGAAAAACTTTCGAGTTACCATCACCTTCTTTCAGCCATTAGATCTGAGATCCGAGGCGATGGTGAGGCGCGAGCGACGATGGACGACGCGAGAAACGGAGGATGACACGGCAACGAGGACGACGCGGGTGACGGGGGACGATGCAGTTAGCGGGGATGACTCCAGCGATGGAGGACGCACAAGAAACAGGTGACGAGGCGTTGCCTATCGTTGCCGCAAAGAGATTCTGCATGGAGGCCATCTGACGGCGGAGACGATGCTTCGGCGGTGTATGAGTGAGACTCTGGTGGTGGTTGTCGATCAATTCCTCTATGTGTGTGGGTGGGTCTGTGTGTGTAAATAATGTGTGTGTGTGTGTGTGTGTGAGAGAGAGAGAGAGAGAGAGAGAGAGAGAGTGAAAAAGAGAGCATTAAATGAATTAATTCGGGGAGAGAGAGAGACAACTTTAATGAATAAATTGGAGAGTGAGAGAGAGAGAGAGAAAGAGACCTGATCGAATGATTAATTGGCGTAGTGTGGCCCACTGGTTGATAGTTGTGTTTGAGTAAATGTTTACAATACCCATAATGAA